ATCCTGTTAGTATAGAAATGTATAGAAATCTGACACAAGGAGACCACATGCCTCCTGGCCACCTTCCTGTCCAGGTAAGCTCTTTACTGCTTCATACTAGTTCCTCCCTACTCTTTTGCAGCTTATTTCTTTAGTCAGCACCAACTCCGAGACATTCTTACCCCTTCTCCTGTCCCCAACACTCAGTCCATTCAGAGTTCAGCTCCTGTTTCTGTGGGTCCCTGCCTCAAAGAGCATGTCCTATTAAATTCTGGATGTTGTGGTGCATGGAGTCTCAAGGGTGAGGCTCAGGATGAGATTTTGATTTCATAATCTGTGGTTAGTCCAAGTACCAATATTTTTAAATGGTTCAACAAGAGGAACAAATATTGATGAAGTATCTATTAGAGGGCCTGGGCCTTGTTAAGCACTCAATATGAAATAGTTACTTCAGAAGCATGTTAACGTGACTCTCCTACCTAGGAAGCTGCAATGGTTTTCTATTGCCCGTCTCATCAGTTTAAACAGCATACTGGGGCTGGCGGTTATAAATTATCATAGTCTAGATGCATTTAACTCAGAATTTATTTCCCACTGACACACCTTGTGTCTGCTTATTTACTTCAGATTTCCCAGTATAGTGTCCAGGTGGAGAGAAGCACATCACATAGAACAAGTAATGAGTGACAAGGTAGGCTGGTTTCTCACCCAATTCTCCAAATTGTGCTTACCAAGGCTTTGAAACAACTTTTCACCTGGTTTTCCTATTCATAAAATGAAATTAATGCTTATTTAACATATTAAAATAAAGCATATGAAAAATTTACAAGTACTTAACCATTTGTACATGACCTTGCTTCTGTTCTATAGGTCATGACTACCATAAATGAGAGGTACTGTAGCATGCTCTCTACACCTGACATTGCATCCTAGAAGGTAAGAATGATTAGGAGGTACCTCCTGTACATGAGAACACAGAAACTGAGAGATGTTAAATAACTTGTCCAAAATCCAATAGCTCATAAACAGAAATTGACCTCAGACTATTAGATTCCAAAGTCCATACTGATAAGCTATGCAGAAAGGAGGAAGGTTTTAGACAAATAAAAAATAAAATAGTGTGTTATAGTTGACTAGTGCTGTAAGTTGTATTACTCAAAATGTGCAGATAGTCCACAAATATAAATAAGAAGAGGAGCTGGATAAACTGCAAGGGTATATGATGTTCTAAGGCTTGGAAATGGGATGGCCAAAACCCAAGCACAGGAATTTTCTGTCTTCTATATCAGAGGTTCTTATAGTACCTACTGTGTCATTTAAAACAACATTGCTTCACAGACTTCACACTGATAGAAGGATTTTTAAATCAATATGCACATTTTACATATTACTTGTAGTAGAATTGCTACATTCATTTATTTTAAAACAATTTTCCTTATGCAATGCTATTTTCCAGGTACATATTTCAGTCAATAAATTGGTTCCTGTAAGTTATCTCCCCTCTGTCTATCTATCTCCATTCAACATGGGTGGTGGGTAATTACAGTTCAGTCACTATAAGAAGTGCTTCCTCTTACCAGAATTATGACTAATTTGTGGAGGATTGAGTGTGTCCTGAAATCAAGATTTAAAAAATCTTTTTCAAATCAGTATATTATTACTACAACAGACGTTTTTCATTTCAAGATTTTAATGTTATTTTAGTATAATTTACATAAAAGAAAATATGCCCCTTTTAAGAATGCAAATTAGTTATTAAAGATACGAGGATATTCAGTATAATATCTTCCTAATCAATAGGCATACCGATTTTGTCACCCCAGAAAGTTTTGTCATGCCCTTTGTTCTAAAGCTCTTTCCACTTCCTCCTCAGATAAGTAGTCATTGAATTTCTCTCACTATATATTAGGTTTTTTTTTCTAAACTATAACTTCATATAATTGGAATAACAGGGTATGTGCTCCTTCGTATATGACTTCTTTCACTCGTAATGAATGCAGAAATTTTTTCATCCATGCTATTGCATGTCTTAGTAATATTTCCCTTTTATGACTGAATAGTATTCAGTGGATGTGTATAGCACAAAAATTGTTTACTTATGCTACTGAACTGGTTATTGAGTTGTTTCTAGTTTTTGACATCTTCATTTTTGAGGAAACAGTGGGCCCTTGCACTCTAGTGGCTCAATGTTTAGCTTCCCAGGACGTGAGACTCAAGGCTCATGGTTCTACATTCCCAGATATGAGCCTAGCTTCTAGTCATAGTCTAGCTTCTGTGTCCTGGATGCTTCTTTGGCATGCTTCGACTCAGTGGTTCATGGATCTGGCTGGGGGAGAAATCTTTGTGAAATCCTTAAGTTAATAGAGGAAATAAATGAATCAATAAATAAATTTAAAAGCAAATGAATGGAAGAGAAGTGATTTACAGGCAATTTCTGCTTTCTTCCATGCTGCAAATCCTCCCAGTGGCAAGGAGCACAAGATTGTGCTGCAAACGGATTAGGTCATTGCCAAAGTAAAGATAGAAACTTTGACCAATTTTGTCACCCCAGAAAGTTCTGTCATGCCCTTTGTCCTCAATCTCCTGCCACTTCCTCCTAAGATAAGCAGTGATTAAATTTTTTATCACTATATGCTAGTTATTTCTAATCTAAACTGTATTTAGTTGGAATCACAGGATATGTGTTCCTTTGTACATGACTTCTTTCACTCATCATGAAAGCATAATGTTTTCATCCATGTTACTGCATTTATAAGTTTTTTCTTTTATGACTGAATTGTATTTCAGTGTATGTGTATGGCACAAATTATTTCCTTTGCTCCTGAATTAGATATTGAGTTGTTGTCAGTTTTTAACATCTTCATTTTTGAGGAAACGGTAGGCCCTTGCAATCTAGTGCCTCCATGCTTAGCTTCCCAGGACATGAGGCTCATGGCTCGTATTTCTACATCCCCAGATAAATGGTCTAGTCATGGTTTCTGTGCTCTGGATGCCACTTTAGCATACTTTAATTCAGTGGTTCATGGCTCTGGCTCGGGGAGAAAACCATGTGTGAAATCCTTAAGTTAATAGAGAAAATAAAAGAATCAGTAAACATTTAAAAGTAAATGAATGTAAGAGAAGCAATGCACAGGTAATTTCTGCTTTCTTCCATATTACAAATCCTCCCACGGCAAGGAGCACGAGATTTTGCTGCAATTGGATTAAGTCATTGATAAAGTAAAGATTTTAAAAAAATAAGAAACCCCTTAGATTAAAAGCCACATCATTGTCCTTCTACACAGTGCATTCTACTCTAACCAAACACTTTTAGCTCATCGCCTAGAGGACAGGAAGTAAAGCTGGTGGCCCACATGTCAAAAGGTGGATGTTTTTGTAACTCCTCATCCTTATTCTCTAAAGATAACAAGGTAAGAACACAAGAAAATTTTTGTTAAAGAAATTGATAAACGTAAAGTGCTGTCTGCATTTTCTTATTAGACCACCTTGCATCAAAGAGGTTCATAAAATTAATTGGCCACATGGAGTTTATTTCTGGAGTGATCAACTGAACATGTGCTTGCAAGACAGAGCCCTCTTCTGGCCTTCCCTGGCTACTCTCCATAGTTTTCATGACTCCTAAAATATTTTGTCTCCCGTTTCTCCAATTAATTTCTTATTCTTCTCATCACTTGCCATATTTGCACATTCTGAATATTCCAGTTACATACTACATACTAGGCTTCGTGTTTGTCTTCTCCTCTTGTATGTGAGAACAAGGGGGAAACAACCATGATATGTTTTGACTGAACTCCTGGCTCCTAGAACCATATCATTCATATATATTTGTTAAGTGAATGACTAGATGCACTGCTTGAGGAGTCTAACAAAAGGTAAACTTAGCTGGATAATCAGCAAATCATTATCCTTGATTTTTTCTAATGCAAAATATTTGTATTAATTATAGTAATATCACTCATGATCTGCTTACCATTTGCCAGGCAATGTTCCGTGCAGTTTTTACACTTTCTCTCACTTAATGCTCAAAACTGCGTAGGTACATACTGTTAATAAAATTATTTTACAGACAAAGGAACCAATGCATGGGGAAGTTCAATTTCTTACCCACGAAATGAAGTTTAAAATGCTAAGTTCAACATTCTGAGTCCAGAGCCTATGCTCTGAGCCTCTATGGTGCAATGTCCCTCAAAAGAAAGCCAGCCAGGATGGGTGGGTGGCTCACACCTGTAATCCCAGCACTTTGGGAGGCCAAGGTGGGTGAATCGCTTGAGTGCATGATATAAAAACTAGCCTAGGAAACAAAGGGAGACCCTGTCTTTAGAAAGATACAAATATGATCCAGCCATGGTGGCACGTGTCTGTGTTCCCAGCTACTTGAGAGGCAGAGAGCTAAGGGGATCATCTGAGTCTGGGAGGTGGAGACTGCTGTGATCCATGCCAGCGCCTCTGCACTCCAGTATGGGTGACAGAGTAAAAATCCTGTATCGGGGGTGGCAGGGGGAGGGGGGAAGCCCTCTGAAAAGGAAGGACATTAAATAAGAAAAACTTTAATTATGGTAAAACATATGTTCATTTCTTAAAGCAAAATTACTTCACAGGTTCATACATTTCTCTTAAAGCAAAATTGCTTCACAGGAACATACATTTCCTATGACCTTCCCCAGACCTGTGACTTGGGCCCGGGACAGAAGTGGTTCAAATTCTCTAAAGGTTGTGTTACTTTTCTCCATCAAGTTTTCTAATGAATGAGAAACTCTTCACTGTGTGAGTTTAATTGTACACATACTTTGTCATTCTTGTCTTATTCTCCAAGCCCCATTCCCCTCCTACCCTGACCTGTTCCAAGGGTTGGTGAAGAAAATTCCACAAGGATACACTCTCTGATGCAGTCTACAGTTCAGGAATCTGATTCTTTTTTTTGCTGGCAAAAAAAAAAAAAAAAAGACATGCATATGCATGTGCAGTGGTTATTTCTCAATAGTGTACACGCTCTGCCAAAAAGGCAGGTGAAGCATGCTTTCAGTTTCAGCCCACACAAGAAGGGTAGGAGAGAAAAGCCATGGCCGGTGAGTCTTTCACTGTTCTAAGAACAGGTCCCTGGGAAGAAAGAGTTTTGGAAGGCGTTGGCTTTTCTGGAAGCCAAAATTAGTATCTGGGGAAGTTTAGGTGAACAGAAATGAGGGAGAGGGTGGAGAGTGAGGAGAGAAGAAAGTGGAAGACACTTGCAGTCTTTAGAAAGGAAAAGCAAGCCCAGAAAGGAACTGAGGCTTTAGGGGCAGCCTGCTGTCATTTTGCAATCTTAATTGAACTCTTTCTTATATGTTGAAAGTCTGACAGAGGGTACAGAATTGGCACAGGAGGAGTACTAGCAGCAGTGATTCCTAAATGAAATGGGCTATTTCTGTTTCATTACTTTATTAATCAGAGTTAAATAAACACGGGACACAAGAGGATGATCTCCGCTTTCCAGGGACTAATGTAAATGGTAAATTCAGTCTTCAGGCCACTCCATGCACATGTATGGAGACTATTGAGGGAAACAAGTAGGGCAGCGATACAGTAAGAAGACGGATTACCCAACTTTGAGGAGGGGGACATTTCACTGATGAAATCTAAGTGAGGTCACTTTCTGTTGATTACATGAGAGGAATATAAGGCTGTCTTTATGATGTGAGAAATCCTTGTGCCCCAAGCAGACAAGGTCCTGAAGGAGAAGAGAAAGCTGTTAATCCGTTCCATGGGTGAAGGCACAATAAATGGCTTACTGGATGAATTATTAGAGACAAGGGTGCTGAACCAGGAAGAAATGGAGAAAGTAAAACGTGAAAATGCTACGGTCATGGATAAGGCCCGAGCTCTGCTTGACTCTGTTATTCGGAAAGGGGCTCCGGCATGCCATATTTGCATCACATACATTTGTGAAGAAGACAGTCACCTGGCAGGGACGCTGGGACTCTCAGCAGATAAGGGTCAGTGACTCACACACAAGTTCCTGTAGGGTCTATTATTGTGCCTACCATGTGATGTCTTTACTAGTCATGTTAAGTTGCAGAAAACTTTCTTATCTCTGGCTTCAGTGCCATATTTCTGTAGCTGGGCCCCTAATGCATGTCCTTTGACTCTCCTTTGTTTCTGTTCCTTTATCCTCAGTGGCCGCCTTCTGATTAAAGCTCATTTCCAGTTCTGAGTATGTGGGCGTTCATTTGTAGAAGGTCATGAGAACTATCTAAAAAGCTTTGTGCTATATGTTCCACTGTTCCTGGCAAGGCACAGTATTTATTGATTGATTTAGTATTTTTGAGTCCAAGGTGCTAGGCTCATATGCAGTTGTCTGATATGAAGCTTTAAGGTCTGTAATTAAATAGGTTTAATAACTTCTCTCCAAAATTTTGCCCTCTGAGAAGAAGAAATTATATTTCAGAAATGGTGATACACTCAGAGAATACATTGAATAATTATAGAAAAGTAAGAATTTCAAGTTGGCTCTTTCCTCCAGTTGCCTCCTTGCATTTTCTTTTGAGTGAGATCACCCACTTGCCTGTTACCAGGCTGCAGATCATGCTGTGAGGTCTGGACTGCCTCCACCTGCAGCCCCCTTAGGGCCTGATGCAGTGCACAGGAAATGAGTTGGACCATTCTTGTGATCCCTTGGACTTACCACATGGTGAGGATGAGAGTTCTGGTGGACTCCTAGTCACTGGTCTCTGTGACACTTCCTAAAGCCATTTCAGAGGGAGATGTTCTTTGAAAACAAAAGCCTTTTTTCGGTTAGGGGAGGCTTATACCTGTCTAAGCAGACATGGGAGAAGTTTATGTTTTCATCTAAGTGTAATAAATATCGTATTTTTCTGACAATGTCTCTTTCATTTTATAACCCCCACCACTCACTAAATTAAAGAACATCTTGAACATTATTTAATGTCATTCAGCCAGAGTTCTGGGATGCATCTTTAGTGGGGAATGTTGTAAGTATTACGGTAAAGTTTTCCAGAGATGATTAGTGACTATTTCAGTGTCCTTCTTTTTCTAGGTCCGACATCTGGAAATCACCTTACTACACAAGACTCTCAAGTAGTACTGCCTTCCTTCCTAGGTAATGCTGTTTTTAAAGAAAGAGCATTATTTGAACCCCATCTTCCATGACATTAATGTTGTAGGATGAACCACAGTTAAAGGGGCTATGGAGAATTCCCGTAAAGTGATCATATAATTTTCTTTTTGTAATCTATTCTGCTTTTGTAGAAATTGTACCCACAACTTCACTATCTATGTTTATATTAAAAATTCTGAATCTTTTTCTCAAATCTTGAACACCAAATAAGTACCATATTTCATTATTTAAGGCTCCTGAAATATTCCCTCATATGTCCCAGAGACACGATCATCTAAACAATTTTAGAGTTGAACGTGCCATTCTTCCACACCTTGCTTCTCTTCCAGTTTTGTGTAACTAGGTTGTTGGTGTCACCATCACTAGTTGTTCAAACCAGTAACTTGAAACTCATTTTGGTCCCTTTCCTCTCACACACCTCCAATATTCAAGCCGAAGCCAAGTTTTATGCATTCTTCTCTCAAATTTGGAACTGTATCTCTCTTTCAACTTCTATTCCATTATTTCACTAATATTAAGGTTGAAACTTCTATTTCATTTATTAAGGTTCATTAACTCATGTCTTCCTTCTTTTCTTTTTTTTTATTTTTAGATGGAGTCTCACTCTGTCACCCAGGCTGGAGTGCAGTGACACAATTTCGGCTCACTGCAAGCTCTGTCTCCCGGGTTCAAGTGATTCTCCTGCCTCAGTCTCTCGAGTAGCTTGGACTACTGGCGCTCGCCACCATCCCCGGCTAATTTTTTAAAAAATATTTTTAGTAGAGACAGGGCTTCACTGTCTTAACCAGGATGGTCTCAATCTCCTGATTTCGTGATCCTCCCACCCCAGCCTCCCAAAGACGAATGTTTTCTTAAATGTTTTCCAGCACAGGATACTCACTATATAACCAAATACTGTATTTTCACACATAAAAAAAATTACCTCAAAAATAACCCATATACTTCTACTTAGTTTTTTTATAGTTTTCATTCTTCTTTATGAAACCAAACATTTCTTCAACCAAATTATTATTTTGTAGTTTTCTCCGATATATCCATTCTGATTAGTTCTTCTGTGTCAACACACTTCATGCTGCCTTTATTTATCTGATTGTGTAAGTTTCTCAAGCTTGTTTTCAAAATTGCATAATATTTTCTTGACTTAATAGTTTCTAAAAGATACTCCACAGATCTAGAAAACTCATTTCTATCTTGATACAAAGATTACATTAATTTCTTTAACAAGCACATCACATTGCTGGATGGTGTTGAACTTGTGATGAAACAAAAGCCTCAAGGATTTTCTCACATAAACTCTGTGAAAACATTTCCTCATATGTCTGTGCAATCAATGTTTAGTGCCATAAATTCATCTAGTGTGCACTTTAATTTTAGCATTTATCATACTATTTTATATACATTCTAGTTCATATATTTAGTAATCTTCTCCTACCATACATATATATATAGTAGGAAGAGATCCTGAAAGACAGGACAAATGTTCATTAAAAAATATTCCTAGTGCTTACTACCATGTCTTTTAAGTAAATACATAAAAAGATAAGCATATCTCTTAAATATTTTCAGTAGATTTAATTAAGACCTCCTACCATTAAATTTTATTCTGTGGTTCAAATCTTTAGAAATAAATTTATATTCTCTTTTATCTCATACATTTGATTGGTTTTTGAGTGTTTTATCATGCACGGCCTTGAAAATCTTTCTTTCTACATTTTTATCTGAAATACTTGTGAAAATACTGATCCTGAAATATGAAAGGAGATCCCTGTATTGCACACCTGGAAATTTCTGACTGGAAGTGTATTCCATTAGCAGCGAAATTACTCAGTGATAAAAGATCAGGATTGTCTTCCTAAGAATGCATTTTCACTTTTTTGGCCTCATTCATACGTGAGGCTGTAAAAAACAAAAAGTGGAACAAAGAGGGATGCCAATGTTCATGATGTTCTTTGACTCTTGCAGCTCCTCAGGCATTGCCAGTGTGTGATAAATCTGCTATGCCTACATCCTCAGGCTCAGGAGGAAGCATCAAGCTTTGCTCTCTAGATGAAGCTAAAATAATATGGAAAGAAAAGTCAACAGAGGTACCATGCTTAGAACACAAGGATAGAATGGGGTGACAGATATCCTTTAGGCGATTATGAAATGCAGTGGCTTTTTCTTAGAGCTATTCTCAATGGAGAATCATAATTCTGCTTCCCTTACTTGAAAAAAAACTTCTGTATCCTGGAATCCCAGATTTATAGAAAGAGTTCCAAATTGAATCCCATTCTTGGATAAATAACATCAACAATGGCAACTATTGAATGTTCTCTGAGAGTGGGCAGTGTTCTAAGCATTTTATATATGATGATACATAATTTTTAACCTTAAAAATAACCCGTTTTAGAGATCAAGAAGCTGAGGCATAGGATTGGTAAATACTTTGCCCACACGTATACCTATGTAACAAACCTGCACGTTGTGCACATGTACCCTAGAACTTAAAGTATAATAAAAAACAAGAAAAAAAAATACTTTGCCCAAAGAAAAACAATCAGATATTGAAGCAATCAGTTTTAGAATTCTGTCATTCTTGCTTCATAGCTTGTGCATTTTTCAAAATCCTGCCTATCAAGAAAAATGAAGTCAGTAGCTCACCTGCCATCTGGACCTTTGCAGTTTCTATGCCTACTCTCCAAGTAGCACTCAATTCTGTCCCCCATTTTCAATGTATAGTCCATGGGATTTAGTATCTTGATATGACTAACAAAGAGAAAACGGTCATAAATTTACCAGGTGAATACTAAATTACAGAGAATAAGTCTATTCATCCAAATTTCATTTCCTACAGATTTATCCAATAATGGACAAGTCAAGCCGCACACGTCTTGCTCTCATTATCTGCAACGAAGAGTTTGACAGTCTTTCTAGAAGAACGGGAGCTGAGGTTGACATCATAGGCATGACAACACTGCTACAAAATCTGGGGTACAAGGTGGATGTGAAAAAGAATCTCACTGCTTCGGTAAGGTCTATTATACATTAGAGACAATGGTCATGCCCTTCCTATAACTAAATAATATTAGAAAGCTTGGTTGACCAAGAAATGTAATCTCTTCATAATCTAAAATATAAACTTGCCACGGGAGGGTGCTGGATGCTACATGTTCCCTTGTAACTAACTCATTCTGTTCGAGCCTAGCGTAACTTACTTGGGAAGTGTTTTTTTTTTTTTTTTTTTTTCACTCAGTAATGCCACATTCTCTCTACAAGATAACTCTGAATGACTTCCTACAACACCTTTCTTCTCCTTTCTCGAAATTAAGACTAAAAATTTTTTGGGCACTCCTTTGTTTGTCATGAAATTCCTTAAGAAATCCTTAAGTATTTATTTATTGGCTTTCCAAGGTGCCATGATAGTTAATTACATAGTCCAAAATCAGTGGTATGGTCTCTTTCAGGAAATGACTACAGAGCTGGCGGCATTTGCTCACCGCCAAGAGCACGAGACCTCTGACAGCACCTTCCTGGTGTTCATGTCTCATGGTATTCGGGAAGGCATTTGTGGGAAGAAATACTCTGAGCAAGTCCCAGATGTATTACAACTCAATGCAATCTTTGAAATGTTGAATACCAGGAACTGCCGAAGTTTGAAGGACAAACCGAAGGTGATCATCATCCAGGCCTGCCGTGGTGGTGAGTGCTGAGGCCTTTGAGAACACCAGACATTCAAATACTACTCTGTATGCATCCAGGAATTTTTGGTTTCTTTTTGTTTGTCTTTTAATGTCAAATAACACGTACTGTCAGTATTCCAGATTGCAGCTTCTGTGAATTGAATGGCTGGTTGGTAGATATTTGTTCTATATTCAAGCTTGAGACTTTGATGTTTGGAAATTTTTACAATTTGTTTTATGGTTAGAAAAGATAAATATTGTTGAAAAGATTGTAACTGAAATGTATGTGTGTATTTGCATGTGAATTAATGATAGAGCAAACACATTAATAAATATCATTGAACAGAGGCTAGGAGGGAAACATCATCTTCTCAGCCATTGATAGGTAGTAACAAATCAAATTGTGTCTTTCCAGAGAACCATGGTGTGGTGTGGTTAACAGATTCAGCAGGAGTTTGTAGAAACGTATCTTTACCAACTACAGAAGAGTTTGAGCATGATGCTATTAAGAAAGCCCACATAGAGAAGGATTTTATTGCTTTCTGCTCTTCCACACCAGGTAACAGGTTTCTACACAGGACATCTTTGTTGGGGCTATCAGTACAAAAAGTGACAGTCACCCACTAGAGGTGATGATTAACAAATCAATTGTAACTCCCATATTAAGCCTAGCTCCACATTCTACGGTGCAAATCCCAACTATATCATAGTGCTCTCCTGAGGAAAAATAATTATCTACTTCCTTAATTTCACAAAACATTTGCAGAGACACCTGTTTCCACCGTATCTCTTATTTACTTCCTTCAACTAAGATAGCTGTGGTTCTAAATATAATTTTATTATTAATATACACTTTATGACCATTATAATTGGCTGAAATGTGTCATTAAAGAATGTATCTGTGATTATACACAGAGCTATTGCTACTGCTTTTCTCTTACCCCTTCCTTTGCACAATTTTCAAGTATTCATTACTTCTGTGTCTACCATGTAATAAATTAATATTGTTTTCTTTAACATTTCTCTTCTTCATAAGAACTTCTTATTCTCCATTATCATGTGATCATTCTCTTATTGACTCTTCCTAGATTTCTACTTTTGTTCTGTTTTATGATTTGTATAGTTAACTCTTTGTGTGTAAATATCTTACTGCCAATGTTATTAAATTTTAAATAAAATTTAATGTGAAGTACATAGATTGATAATTTATTTACATAATTTTCCCATATAGACTGAGTATTACATGTTCTCTGTTAGCTCAGACACTTGTGTAGCCTCAGATATCTCCTGTGTATGAAATTATTACCGTTCCCTGTATAACTGAGTCTATTACGTGTCAGAATGGACAATTAACTTAAATCGCAGTCAGTAACACCACCTTGGGGATGCACATTTAGATATTTCTTTTCCAAATTCCAATTCCTTCCCTTGACCCCATTCTGTCTTTTCCTATCGCTCTACTAAATTTCGACTTTTTGAACTCAGGGACTAGGCCACATCAATACCTGCACCATATACAACACCCTTTAGAGGATCAGTAAAAATATACTCACTGAACTTCAAATATATTCACTAGAAATTACAATGAAGCATATGGAAAATAGAAGAATTCCAAAACATGCCTCAGCTGGAGCAGAAATACTAGGGTTTCTTCTCTTTCTTCAGGCAAGAGCCAGTCTTGAGATTTGAAATATGTTTTATCAACAGATAATGTTTCTTGGAGACATCCAACAATGGGTTCTGTTTTTATTATGAGACTGATTGAACATCTGCAAGAATATGCCCATTCCTGTGATGTGGAGGAAATTTTCCGCAAGGTAGGGCTCTGGTGGATGCTATTTTCACTCTACTTCCCTGAATGCTTGGTTATTGCAATTGGAAGCATAGAAAGCAGATACAGACATGTTTATCTTCCAATAACACCCTTCTTTCCAAAAGTGTTTTGAAGTTCCTTGGAGAGTGAACAAGCCTGGAAGTCAAATCCAATGTATTAAGACCCACAGCCTCAATAAAACCATCATTTATTTTCACCCTCCTCCTGCCCTGCAGAGACAAATGAATGGACTCTAATTTGCCTGTGTCCCTCTTGACTATGATGCCCAACCACAGATTTTAAAAGCCCCAAGGAGGGTCATTCAATGCTTAGATAAGCACATGGCTATACTTGTTGCAGATACAAGTACTTTTTGTTTTCCTCACTTATTTTGCTATATTTGTTTTAGTCTTTTTGGCATGAGTCATCAAACTTTTCAGAAAAAACAGGTCTCCAGACTTTCCTTTCTCTTTTAGGTTCGACTTTCATTTGAGCAGCCAGATGATAAAGTACAGATGCCGAGCACTGAAAGGGTGACTTTGACAAGACGTTTCTACCTCTTCCCAGGACATTAAAATAAAGAAGCCGTATGAATGTCTGTGGACAGGTACGTCGGGAGTGTGGGAAGATTGAGGAAAGTGTACTGAAAGTCCATTTTAGTCAAGGACTCTAGGTCTACAGGTGTAGAATTTTTAATACAAAAGTTTAAATTTTGAAATGCTCTAAAATCCAAAGCTGTGTGAGCGCCCACATGATATTCAAAGGAAATGCTTATGGAATCATTTCAGATTTTAGGTTTTTGGATTAAGGATGCTAAACCAGTAAGTATAAGGCAGATATTCCAAATATACAAAAATATCTGTAATTCGAAATACTTCCAGTAGCATGCATTTTGGGTAAGGGATAATCAAGCTGTAGTATAATATACAGAAAATACTGAAGTAATGTCTTTCTTCTGGTCAGTGCAGAGCACGTTGCTCTTCTCCCAAAGTTTTTCTTTTAGACCCTTTCTGAGGGTCAGCTAATATTGACCTAGAAGTGGCGATAAGTCTACGAAGGCTAACTTTTAGATGTTTCTCCCCTTCACCTCAGCAGGGTAACATTTTAAAATAGCATGCAGTCTTTCCTTTTAAGATTGCATATGTTCCCATTGGTGGTATAACTTTATAACTTACATTTCTTTTAGCAAAATTCTTTTATGTTTGTTTTTTATTTTTTGTCCCCACAGGAAACCAAGAGTTTCTTCATTCCGTAATCGTTTTTGGAATTATGTCTGTTTAGTAATTGACTTTTTTGAACATTTTAATAAATCTAACATAAAAGTAAAAAAGTGTCCTCAGTTTTCTTCCACACTGGAGAAACAAGGGTTGGAAATCAGAGGGAGTAATGAATTTAGAATGCTAGACTTAATTCGTAAGATCTGAACTGGCTATTGGCCCCATTTTTTCATTCGAAAAACCATTTGCTGTGCTTTCTGCTTTCGGGATGCAGATAAAATTACCACAGGTACCTGACTTCAAAAAAATTAGAGTTCAGCAGGAGACATGGGGAGAAGATGGATTTTTATGACAGTCACACTGCAGTGTGATAAGGGACTTTTCCCAAATCCCACAGTTTACTACTGACAAATCCATGAACAGAACCTGCAGATTTCTACCCTTTGTTAAGGTATTTAAGAAAGAGAAAGTAAATTTTGAGTTAACTCTAGACCCTCAGTATTCACAGACTTCTAGAAAAGGCAAGACAGCCATCAAAATTGAAGTACTTGGCAGATGGTGCATGACACCCTGCAGAAACTCTAGGATGCATGGTGTGCACAATGAAGTACCTGCATGGTGTAGAGAAAAGGAGTTTGGTGTGAAATCACTCACTCAGGGATGTTAAAATTTGGGGAGGATTGGAAGAACTACCATTTCACCTGCAGATATGAGCCTTTTCTAAACTTTATCCTATTAAATCAAAGTGAATATCTAACCTTTTAAAAACCTTCACAGTTGAACACATTATGGTCCCTTTTTCTTTGGTCTTTTATTAACTGTTGGTGTGGGCATACCTTTCCTGTACTAACGTGCATATTCTACTACAATCGGAGACTACATTTGTGATCAGTCTTTGCTCAGAGAATATCAAAAAGCAGAAGTGAATTGTCACCCTCAGTAAAAATTAACTATTAAAGCAATCTTAAGCAGTTGAAGGAAAGCATTCCAGGGAGTAAAGGGATTCCTTCAGAACACTCTCCAATCAAAGGATAAGATTACAGGGAGATGTAGAGGGGAGGTGGCATCATGATTCCTCAGCACAGTTTAAACTGTTGCAAGTGCCAATACTTTTTGTTTTTGTCATTTATTTTGCTGTATTTGTTGCAGTTTTTCTGGTTTAAGATTCTACATCACAAAAGGTCCACAGACTTTCTCTTTTTAGGTCTGACATTCGTTTGAGTTTCCAGATGGTAGGACACAGATCCTCATCACTGAGTGACATTGATAAGATGTTTTTATCTCTTCCTAGGACATTAAAAGAAGTAGGTTGTATGAATGTCTGTGGGCAAATGTGTGTGTGTGTATGTGTGTGTTGGGGATTTTCAGACGTTGAAGAGGAATACTGAAGCTCTATTCTGGTCAAGGTGTCCCTTTCTAAATGTATTATTCCTCATCCAAAAATTCAAAATCTGAAATCCTCCAATATCTACATTCTTTCCTATTACCTCCCACAACGTTTTAATAAAAAAGAGACATTGAAAAGTCCTCAAAAATTGCTAGTATAAATGCCTTCATTCCATAAAAAAATAAGAGTATATCATATTGATGAGTGTTTTTTAAAAATATAATTCCAACTTTCATTTTCCATCAAGGGGTACATGTGCAGGTTCATGACTTGGGTATACTGCATGATGCTGTGGTTTTGGTGACAATAGTTCCTCTCATCCAATCCACTATGTGAGCATAGTACATAATAGTTAATTTTTCAACTGTTGGCCCTCTACCTCCGTCCTCCATCTTATTGACCCCAGTGTCCATTGTGCCCATTTGTATGTCTATGTGTACCCAATGTGATTAGTATTCTTGTGTTTGTACCCATTAATATTCCCCCAATTCCCCCCACACCACACTATGCTTTCCAGCCTCTGGTAATTATTCTTCAACTCTCTGTTTCATTGAGTTCAAATATTTTAAAATTTAGCTCCCACAAATAAGTTTGGTTTGCCTTTCTCTAATAATAATGTTGTGCACTTTTTCATATAACTGTTTGGCGTTTGTATGTACTCTTTTCAGAAATGTCTATTCAGATCTTTTGCCCATTTTTAAATCAGATTATTAACATTTTCTCCTGCAGAATTGTTTGAGCTCCTTATATATTCTGGTTTTTAATCCCTTTTCAGATGGATAGTTTGTAAATTTTTGCCCATTCTGTGGGTTCCGTCTTTGTTAATTGTTTCCTTTGCTGTGCAGAAGGTGTTTAACTTAATGTAATTCCATTTGTCCATTTTTGCTTTGGTTGCTCATGTTTCTGGAGTGTTGCTCAAAAAATCTTTGCCCAACCCAAAGGACTGGAGAGTTTCTCCATTTTTTGTAAGAGTTCCATAGTTTGAGGTCTTTGATTTAAGTCTTTGATTCATTTTGATTTGATTTTTGTGTATGGCAGGAGGTAGGGGTCTAGGTTCATTCTTTTGCATATGGATATCCAGTTTATTTTCAGTACCATTTATTAAAGAGATCGTCCTCTTACCAATGTATTTATGTTCTTAGCACCATTGTCAAAAATGAGTTCACTATAGATGTATGGATTTATCTCTGGGTTTTGTAATCTGTTCCATTGATTTGTGTGTCTGTTTTTATACCAGTACTATGCCATTTTCATAACTACAGCTCCGCAGTGTAATTTAAAGTCAGGTAATGTGATTCTTACAGTTTTGTTCTTTTTCCTCCGGGTACCTTTGGCTATTTTAGATCTTTTGTGGTTCTATATACATTTTAGGATTTCTTTTTATTTTATTATTTCTGTGAAGAATGCCAGTGGTATCTTTATAAGGACTGCATTGAATCTATAGATTGCTTTAGGTAGTAGAGACATGTTAACAATACTGATTCTTTTAATCAGTATTCTTTTAATCCATAAACATTTTTTTTTTAATTTTTTGCATCCTCTTTAATCTCTCACATTGATGTTTTATAGTTTTCATTGCAAGGCTCTTCTACTTCCTTGGTTAATGTAATTTCTAGATATTTAATTTTACTTGTAGCTATATATATGGAATTATTTTCTTGATTTCTTTTTCAGATTGCTTACCATTGGCATATAGAAATGCCACTAAATTTTGTACATTAATTTTTGTATCTTGCAATGTGTCTGAATTAGTGTATCAGGTCTAAGAGTTTTTTGGTGGAGTCTTTAGGATTTTTCAGATATAAAATCACATAATCTGCAAACAAGGATAATTTGACTTCTTCCTTTTGAATCTAGATGCACTTTATTTCTTTATCTTGTCTAATTGCTCTGCCTAGGACTTCCAACAGTATGTTGGACAACAGTGTTGAAAGTGGACAACCTGATCTTAGAGGAGAGACTTTTAGTTTTTCTCCACTCTTTATAATACTAGCTGTTGTCTGTACAAGTTGAAGTATCTTCTTTCAGTTCCTGTTTTTTTTTTTTTTTTTTGAGGATTTTTATGAGGAAGGAACGTTGAATTTTATTAAATGCTTTTTCAGCATCAGTTAAAATGATTTTATGTTCTTTGTCCTTTCTTCTGTTGATACAATGTATCACATTAATTGATTTACATATGTTGAACAATTCTTGCATACCTTGGATAAATCTTGCTTGGTCATGATGAATGATCTTTTTAATGTGTTGTTGAATTTGGCTTACTAGTGTTTTATTATGGATATTTGCAGCAATATTCATCAATCATATTGGCCGATATTTTCTTTTTCTTTTTTTTTTTTTTTTATGTGCCTTTGTCTGGTTTTGGTATCAGAGTAATGCTGTCCTTGTAGAATGAGTTTGGAAGTATTTATTCCTCCTCTGTTAGTCTGAGGGTTTTTTTTTTTCCCTTCAAATTATTTTAAGTTCTGGTGCACTTGTGTAGGATGTGAAGGTTTGTTCATAGGTAAATGTTTGTCATGGTGGTTTGCTGCACAGATTAACCAATCATCTAGGTATTAAGCCCAGCATCCATTAGTTATTCCTCCCGATGCCCTGCCTTCCCCTGACACCCTCACAGGCCCCATGTGTGTTGTTCTCTTCGCTGTGTAAATGTGTCCTCATTGCTCACTTCCCACTTCAAGTGAGAAAATGAGGTGTTTGGTTTTTTGTTCCTGTATTAGTTTGCTGATGATAATGACTTCCACCTCCATCCGTGTTCCTGTGAAGGACATGATCTCATTTCTTTTTATGACTGCATAGTATTCCAGCATGGTATTCCATGATGTAGCAGCACAGTATTCCATGATGTGTATGTACTACCTTTTCTTTATCCTATCTATCACTGATGGGCATTTGGGTTGATTCCACATCTTTGGTATTGTGAATATTGCTGCAATGAAGATACTCTACCATGTATTTTTGCAATAGAATGATTTATATTCCTTTGGGTATGAAAGTCTCCAATCTACTTCCCACAATGCTGAACTAATTCAGATTTCCACCAATATTGCATAGGCATTGCTTTTTCTTCACAGCATTGCCAGCATCTGTTATTTTTGACTTTTATTTTTACAAAAAAAGGAGAAAACACATCTCAATTTATTCTGTGAGACTGATATTGCCTTGATATCAGAACTTCACAACAGCAAAGACATGGAAT